GGTGGTGGGGGTGGCGGGGCGCCTGAGTGAAGGTCTGAAGGTTACGAGAGCGAAACTGAAGCAGGGTTCTGTTTGTGCGGTGTGTGTAGAGAGCTGTGGTAGGAGGAGGAGCAGGTTTTCTTGGCGGCAGGGGCTGGGTAGACGCACACGGGGCCAATGTATGAGCAGACTGCGCCAGCCTCTCATGCAAGGGCCGGCCTGTGAGGAGATTTCGAACGACACTGGTGCAGACCCCCGGGAGCGCTGAAAGGAGCGGCAGAGACTTCTGGCACGGGCCGAGGGCACATGGGCTGAGGATGCCGCTCCCAACATATGAGGAGCCTTCTTTTTGTAGCGCGAACAACACATCGCGCATCGCACCCCCTCCCAAGCGTGCCCCCTCGACCGCAGCCCACCAACCCGCCGCCGACGACCGGCTGCGCGTCTCTCCCCCTCCCCCCCCGCGCCCGTGCAGCTGCTGCGCCTGCTGAAGCCGTCGGTGCTGGTGCCTCTGCTCAACGCAGAGCTGGATGAAGAGGGCGGCCTCACCACGCTCATGAGCCGCAAGGGAGACCTCTCGCAGCTGCGGGATGCGCTCGCTTCTGCAGGGCTCGGGGCTGTCGACGTGGACATGCCCGCGCCGCCAGGGGAGGCGTTCGCAATTGCGCTGTAGTGTGCTTGACTGGTTGATATTTGGGCGGCAGCTGGTGCTTCGAGGGTCGGTATGGCCCTTTTCAGTCAGTGTGCGGCTTGAGGTATGTGCTGAGCTTGCTGCTCAGCTTGCTGCTTGCCCGCTTTTCACATTGTTATATGACCGGGTCGGAAACCTTGGGTGGATCGTGTGTTTTTGTCCCGTGGATCAGGGCTGTGCCCTGGAGGTCACGATGACACGCACCAAGGCTTGGCAGACCAAGGACGGCCACGCGCCCCAAAGGCAGAGTCGGAGACGGCGTGCGTTGTGCCGCCGACAGCGTGTCACTGAATTCACAAGGACGCGGGCGGCTTGCTATCCGATGTAAATCATGTGTCTGATTGAAGGCTCCGGTCACTGGGCGTTTGAGTTCGTTGGCTGGGAGCTGGGAGAAACCAGCGGGTTTTTTTTGATGTCGTGTGTCTCCTACGCCAGACTGAAGCATGCTGATTCAGTGTCTGCTGCTCCATCCGATGCACTTGCCTACCTCTTGCTCGCATAACAAGGCTGTGCACTGGGTATCTGTCTCGGAACCGAGTACCACTTTACTACTGCTAGCATGCAAGGCCGCGCACACGTCACCCAGGGTGACATGTGCGCGGCCACAATGCTCCTCCCCTCCCTGCCTCGTCTGCACCCTCGATGGCATGCCAATGAGAAATCCGTTGCTGCCCCTGGCGAAACCAGGAACAAAATGTGAGCACGGGCTATATGACGCACCTGTGACTCGCATTTGCAGTCGCAAATAGCGAAAGCGCATGAGCTCTTGGCTGTCATGCAGTGCACTCGTGCGCGCGCATTTCACTCATGAGTGAAATGACCAGCGCCGCTGCAGGGGGACCAGCAGCGCGTGTTTTTTTCTTACAAGCGCCGCAGCATACACGTACTTTCTCTTGTGATTGTATATTATTTCAGTTGCTTGACGGCTGGAAGGCTCGTGGCGCTGCCAGATCTAGGCGCTTCTGCGGCTGAGCCCGCTGTGCTGGCCAGGTCTTGTTCAAAGAGTCAGTTTATTCACATTGTTTCGGTGCAGCACCATGGCGCTGCAGCACACAAACTGCGGCTTTTTGGCTCGCCTGGCTCCTGGGCTGTTGGCTCAGCTGGCTGAGCGGACTTGTATCTGCGCAGCACCAGACACATTTAGGAGCGTTGCTACGTCGGCGCTGTCGTCGGCGCCGGCGCTTCCAGGCGGCGGCGGTGGTGGGGACGACCCGCAGCATGAGCGGCGCACCTCGCACGCAGGTGCCAGCTCGTCACAATGGCAGCAGCAGCCACCGCAGCAGCAGCAGCAGCGCGGCCTCGCGTCCGCAGCGGTGCAGGTCCGCCTGCGCACCGACGGCTCTGCGGAGCACGGGCATCAGCAGCAGTACCCCCTATGGTCGTCCGTCCCTCCCATCCGGATGCCGCCGCCGCAGCAGCTCCCGCTCCCCAGCCGGCAGCGGCAGCAGGAGCTCTTTGACAGGCGACGAGAGCTGGACGCGACTGTCGCCGCGGCGCCGCCTGGCGCGCAGCCCGCGCTGCGCGTGCTGTGCAGCGTCCTCGACCTCGACCCTGCTCGGCTCCAGGAGCTCGCCGCCGCCGTCAGGTGCAACGCGCGCCGGGTAGCGATCGCCAAGGCCGCGTGGGCCGGGGAGGACGCCACGCGGCGGCTCGCGGGCGCGCTGCTCGGTCGCGCAGGGCTGCCGGCGGCGGACGTGGCGCGCGTCGCCGTCAAGTGCCCGGGGCTGCTGCGAGACGTCGCGGGCATGGACCCGGCGGCCGTGCTCGAGTTGTTGCAGCAGCACGCGTACCCCGGCGCCGAGGAGGCCGACGGCGGCGGCCAGGCCGATGGCCAGCCGCTCGCGGCGCTGCTGCGACGAGCGCCCCACGTCCTGTGCGCGCCGGTCGCGGTGGTCGAGGCCAACCTCCGCCACCTCACGGCGACGCTCGGGCTGCCGCCGGCCGCCGTGCGGCGCGTGGTGTCCAAGCACTGCACGCTGCTGACCCACAAGCCGGGCGCCATGGCCATCAACATGGGGTTCCTCGTGGGCCTCGGCGCGACGGGCGCGGACCTACGGGCCATGCTGGCGCGCTGCCCGCGGTGGGCGACGATGCCGCTGCACGACCTAACCGTCAAGTGGCAGTTTTTCAGGCAGGAGCTTAAGGTGGGCGCCTGGGTTGGGGCAAGAGGGCCTTGGGAGGCGCGGTCGCATGTGCGAGCGAGCGCGGAAGGGGAAAGGGGGGGACGGTGTCTGCTGAGGGTTGCTGCAGCGGGTTGATCGGCGGCCTTGAATGGGGTGCAACGCGGCGCCCCTTGAGGCGCGACGGCCAGGGAGAGGCACGTGCGCTGAGTGGGGCGCGTATGGCGGTGCGAATCAGAGCGGCTTTTGAGCCGACCCGTCCGTCGCGCGCGAGGCGTTGGCTGGCCCGCAGATCCGCCCACACCTCCGCCGCCACCTGCTGACGGGCGCCCGCCCCTCCGCCCCGCGCCGCCCTTCTAGGGCACCCTCGAGGACCTGGTGCTGACGCCGCAGCTGCTGCAGCTCTCGCTGCTAGACACCCTTGGCCCGCGCGCCGGCATGGCCAAGAAGAAGCGCGTGAAGCTGCTCATGCCCAGCTACAGCGCGGGGCACCCCATCCTCAACCGCCCGGGCGAGTGGCTGGAGAACCGGATGGCGCCGGTGCTGTTTTGGATGACTGCGACGCCCCAGAAGCTTGGGGAGACCATGGGGCTGGACCCGCAGGAGCTGGGGCGCTACCAGGAGGCGTGGCGGGTGACCTTTGGCGACCGATGGCGGCAGCTCGTGCTGTCGCCGGGCGCTAAGAGCGGCGGCGGCGTTCGGCAGGGGGCGAACGGCGGCGCCGAGGAGGCGCAGCTGCAGTTGGTGACGCTGCCGCAGGGGCGGGACGATGAAGTGAAGGGGTTTGGAGGCGTGGCCCGGAGGGCGCGCCCAGGGGATTATTTCCCCCCTTCAGGCCCCTCCTTTTGGCAGTGATGTTCATGCACGCGTGGTTTGTACATGTTCCTGTACGTGCATGTTCCTGTATGTGTATCCTGTAAAGAGCGGTGTTGAACTATTCCATGGCTCTTTATAAGGGGGTCCACCCCACCACAGCCCCCAACTGCTTTGCCATGCAGGCAATCGATGCGAGAGGCAGCAGGGGCATGATGAGCACAGCCACCGCTGCCCATTTATACCGCGTCAGTACCCCGCTCACAGCATGGTGATAACTATATTGCTGGAAGTGCGCTTCCCACCTGGGGCGTTCCCGGATGGCTCTGACCCTGGTTCACATGGCGGCTGCGCATGTCGTACCCCACCTGTCTACCTCTTGTCAGGTCGCTTCACTCCGGTCATGTCCCTGTCAACCCTCGCGGCTCAGCGAGATATCATACCGGTCGTGCATATGTGTTGGTGGTCCACACGTCGATTTGTTTGAGTTGCTGACACTCGCACACGACCGAGTGATCTGGAAGCCAGGTCAAGCGTTTGAGGTGAGCCATGGAATACCCAGGCCTGATGCCACTTCGGTACCCGACTGCCGTGCGTTCGGCAAGTTTTTTGCCGCCGGGGTGCCCCTTGCGGCGATCCTGCGCCAACAGTACCCCGGTGGTGCTCGTTTTGGCCTCGCAACAACAGCTTTGCCTTAAGGCGCGTTGGCGGGGAGCCGGTGGTCGCCGTGCGCTGTGGGGAGGGCAGATCACACAACAGCGGGACTGTCGGACACGGAGGGACGCATGGAGAAACGCGGACGTTGGGAGGGAGGGAGGATGGAGTGCTGGCGGGTTTGTCGCCGGCGTGCAGGAAAGGACACCGCCGCAACGGCGGGGCGGAGGCAGCGGTGGCGCCTGCGTGGCGGCGACTGACGTGGCGTTTGGAACCCACAACAACAGGAGTGCGGCACCATGGCGTCCATCGTCTATGTCGCAAACCTTCCGGCTGACGTCCGCAACAGCGAGGTGCGTCGCGGCGCGGGGGTGTGGCCTGAAATGCCGTGCGTCTCCTGGCCGGCGCCAGTCCAGATCTCTTGACGCCCATCCCACGCCGCGCCGTGTCTCAACAACCGCCATAGCACTCCTCACCACAGCCCACAACTGCCTTGACTTCCCCGCTTGCCCTCGCCGCCACAGCTGGAGGAGATCTTTGACCGCTATGGCCGCCTGCGCAGCGTCGACATCAAGGGAGCCAGCAACGGTGCGCCACGCCGCTTGCTCCTGCGCCACCCTACCCCTCTGTCCCTGCCGCCGTCTAGGATCCTCCTCGTTCGCGGCTCGCCCTGTGGGTGCGCATGCGCATGCTGCCAGCAGCCCCCCTTCTGCCTCCCAGGGAGGCAGGGGAACACCGGCAACCTCGCCTTCGGTCAAGTCAACACCGCAACCCACCACCATCCATATCAACATGTTCAGGCGCGTATGCGTTCATCGAGTTTGAGGACGGCCGCGACGCCGCGGACGCCGTCAGGAAGGAGGACGGGCAGTCGCACCTAGGGGGCCGCATCAGGGTGGGCGCCGCCTCGTGGGGAACGCGGGGCCCGCGGCTGCCCCGGGCTGGGGATGCGCTCGCTGCAGGGAGGCAGCGGCGACCGCCTCGTGCGAGGGCGCCGTCCTGGCATCTGGGGGGAGGCGTGGCGCGCCTGGTCTGCTGCTAACAACGTGGACCGTTGCCAGCCTGGGGTGCTTGCAGTGGACGGTCCTCTCTGCGGTCGCAGACTGCCGCGTTGCCTCAGGGTGACCTGCGTTTCACGTCATCCCCTGCCGCAGGTGGAGCTGTCTCGCGGAGGCGGCGGCGGCGGCTACGGTGGTGGCGGCGGCGGCTACGGCGGGGGCGGGTGAGCGACGGGGATGGAGGGCAAACGGGTTGAATGTGGTAGCTTATTGATTACACGGGCTGTTGCCAGGCAGCCTGGGACCTTGGCCGATGATTCCAGCTTGTTTCAGACTAATCAAGTCGACCTCTTGTGTACTCGCAGGAGGTATGGCGATTACGGGGGTGGCGGCTACGGGGGTGGCGGTTACGGGGGCGGCGGCTACGGCGGTGGCGGTTACGGG